AGTTTCAATTTTCTTTTCCCCCTTATTTGTTACATTTGTTACATTCTCGGTTAATACTTTCATTCTTCGTCCAATTTGTTCTTTTTTCATTCTCTCTTTTATTTTCTTCATTTTCATTAAACACGAATATAAGCACGACACGAGCACGAATAAGCACGGCACGATTCTAACCGTGCCCGGGACTGGCAAAATAAATAAATGGGCTGACAAGGTACGACAAGAAAACTGACGGGCCGTGCCGAGCACGACACGGAATAAACAGGCCCAAAGCGTGCTTGCGTCGTGCCAGCCCAAGCACGGGACCAGCGCCCATGTACGGGTATGTAATTTGAAAGAAAAACGTTAGAAATACTCATTTTTCCATTAAAAACAATAAACAAATTAAAATATGATCAATGTAGTTAATATTATTCGTAAAATTGAGGTTTTCACATATTTACAACTTTAGTATAGCTAGAACATTATGTAATAAAAGTAAAACCGTAAGTAATTTGAGTAAAATTACATGTAAGTTAAGCAAAAGAGGATAAAAAAATGGGCGAGGCGTGTCAAAAAGAGTGACCATCCCCGCCCCAAAACAAGTCAAACAGGTAAGCTAAAACTGGTAAGGTCCCTCCTCGACTAACTATTCGGATTGCTTTGTTGTTGTTCTAGACGGTTTGCAACCGATGTCGATTTATAACATCACCAACCTCAGATCCGACCCCTCGCAACTCAGTTTGCTTTTCAAGTCCGAGAATTTTCTCCTTCGCTCCTTCCCCTTCTCCTGTTGCTTTTGTGCCCTCCTCCTTCATGTGTTCTAAATATCAACTTTGATGCGACTGTCCAACAAGATGCATGCTCTTCTGGAATAGTTATTCGAGACTCAAGTGATTTCACTTTAGTGGCATTTGGGTGCATACACTTTGGAATGTCAAACCCTTACATTGTTGAGCTCCTTCTAGCTCGAGCAGCCATTTCGCTTGCGTAGATTGGCAAATTACGACCCGCTCTTTTTTGAAAATCAAACCATAACTCAAACCGAAAACCGGTTACTCCAGAGTAACTCAGACCACTTTTTAAAATAAATAAACCGACAATGTTTAAGAATTTCAAACAAAAAGCCTGAACATTTGGGTAAATGACACTCCCAATACTTAAAATGAATGAACTCAGAATCTCCACTTTACACTACTAACCATGTAACAAAGAAATTAAACTATTCTAGCTCTGACTCTTCACGAGTTCCTTGACTTCTCATCAATGCCGGTGCACCTACTCGCCTCACCTTGCCTCTTCTCGAAATCCACCTCTTCTAACCCTTCTTGGACCTAGTGAGTGAGAAGGGGTCAGTCTCGTCGTTACTTCCTAAGGTCTTTGCCCTAAGAAAACTTTCTACCAACACGTTATTAGAGTTTCTTTCCTAACACGAAAATCGTTCTCGCTTTCTGCTCTTAAATAATCATCCTTTCAACTAGCTTATAGAAGCTATCTACTTATATTCTGAACTCGTAGAAGTTCGCTACTTCTATCCTAAACTTAGATTCCAAACACTAGGGACCACCGCTTTACGTATCGCCGTCCGGTGTACCTACCCTAGTATGCTGACCGTGTTACGTCTCCTCGTCCGGTTGCATACCCATCTCTGCAATGGCATTGCGTTACGTCTCACCGTCCAGTCCATGCCCAGTCAACTACTGCGTTACGTCTCGACGTCCAGTAGTAACCCCAACGTACTTGATTAACTATTGTGTTACATCTCGTCGTCCAGTAGTGATCCGACCATCTACCGTGTCCAGTAGTGGCCCAACCGCCCGAGGGTTCATCTTACCATTAACCAACTATTACAATCATACATTCATACATAGCACAATGCGTACCTCTACCCTTATAGGCGGTGGGATGCCTCACACACATATTGCGCATACTATAAAATTAACTAAATAATAACTTGAACGAAAAGCATAAACTAAATAACCTACGACAGAGATTTTACCCCCTTTACACTCACCTCGAAAAGATGACTCCTCGATTCCTTCCTTGAAGAAATCTCTCTTTAGCCGAATTAACTCGGGAAACCTATTAATAAGAATCCATTTACTTAGACGACCTTTCTCGATTTATAACCCCCTTTTATTTACCAAAACATCTCTCCTTAAAGTATCATCCTCAAACCTCATCCCCAAGATCCCTTAACCTACTTTAACAATTTTCTAAAAGCAATCCCCTCAAAACCAACCATATTTCCTAATTAATTTCATCTGGGATGAATTTTTCACTTAACTTAAACCTTTATAAAAATTCGTCTAATAATTTTTCCATATCAATCATGAGAACCTATACCCTGGAAAATTATCAAAACCTTAAAAACTCAATTTTTATTTAATTAAATAAATATTCGAACAATTTCTAAAAATAGAAATACATCATAAAAAATCACCAAATTAAATTAAATCCATCTCCTAGACCTCCCTCAATTTATAAAATTGTTGAACCCAGAAACAAACACACACAGAGACTCGAAACAATTTAAAACATCTAAAATACGTTTCTGGAAATACCCAACAGCTTTAGTGACCACCCAAAATCTGTCACTAAAAGCCTGTAAAGTCTGTTGCTAAAAAACCCAGAATTGCACCCTCACGAAAAATCACCCAATTGATCGATCTAACTCAAAGGGATCGAGTTCCCTTACCTCTAGAATGTGCCTAGAACTAGATTGGATGACCCGCGATGTTGATCTCTTTGTGATCGATGATCAAAGCCTCAAATCTTGCCGCAAACGCTAGAAACACGAAAGAGATGGGATCGGGGGTCGGGAAACAGGGGCGGCGGTGGGGCTTCTTCTTCTTTTTCTTCTCGACGCGCTGAGAAAACGGGATGGGCGACGGTTTATTCGCCGGGGATGGGGACTCGGTCCCTGGGGAGTTTGCTGGGGAATAATGGCTGGGGAGAGGGGGGAGGTCTGGTGGCTGGGAAAATTTTGGGGAGGGGGATTTAATTGTAGGGTTGGGGAAATTGGGGCCGCTCGGCCGCAGTTGCAACTCTTAGTACGTAACTGTCAGTCCAACCTATCATTATTTATGGTCGAACCCAAATCTAAAATATCGGGGGTGTTACATTTCCTCCACCCTTATAAAAATTTCGTCCCCGAAATTTGCTCGGAACTCGTTCTTCCATCAACACCCTTCTTGTTCTTCCTTCCCACAATCATCTATTCTTACTATAACAACTTCGTTGGTAGCCTTTGCTCAAATAAGTTTTCTTAGCTTGCAGCACTCGTGTAACCATAAAAGCCTCACTGCCCTTTTTACTCCCCAGCTTGATCCAAACATGGTGAAACAAAATGCCAATTCGGCTTGTCATGTTGATCCAATTCTCCTGGTAGTTGATGTTGAACCTAAACCCAAAATCGATACATCACATTTCCGCCCTCCTTTGAGAATAATTTCGACCTCGAATTTTTTTCGTTGTGACGACTCCAAGTTTCACTTGTGATAATCTATTTACAAGGAATTGTACCTCCTTCTAGCCTTGATGTATTGATCCCACGACATCTTGTCGGGCTCCCTGTGACCTACTTAGTTCCTCCTCTGGTTTACTTACGTGCCCCTAGCGTTGCTTAACGTGTAACTTTCCACTACTCCTTGGGTAGTAGCCCTACGTTTGATTCTCGCGAACGTAATGACCATTTCTTACCTCCTTTCCTCAATTTGTTGGCCGCCAATTGCCGTAACTCCTTGACTACTGCCTGTCGACTTCCTACATACTATGCGTATTTCTAAACCTTATGCTGATCAGCTCGAATCCCATAGGGTAGGAGCTGCTTTAAACAACCTCTTCTAGCTCATGAAAAGAGTTCACTAAGCGATCCTCTTAGGAATCTCCTGCTCTCCTTTTCGAGAGGTATCATAACCCCGTGTGGCATTCTAAAGTTATTTCCTTATCATGATTAGAGTATACTGGAGATTCTAAAAATTCCCGAAAGACTTTGACTCATTTGACAAACTTTTAATTGACACTCTCTTTTTCCTTTCCTTTAAAAACTTAACCCTTGAATAACGCAGATCGTCACTCCAGTATTCCTTGGAGACCAAGGAACAGAGTAGTGCCGACTCTGATACCAAAATGTAGCGACCCGCACTTTTTCAAAAATCAAACCATAACTCAAACCAAAAACTGGTTACTTCGGAGCAACCCAAACCACTTTTTAAAATAAATAAACCGACAATGTTTAAGAATTTCAAACAAAAAGCCTGAACACTTGGGCAAATTACAATCCCAATACTTAAAATGAATGAACTCATAATCTACAGTTTACACTCCTAACCATGTAAGAAATTAATTAAACTATTCTAGCTCTGACTCTTCACGAGTTCCTTGACTTCTCATCAATGCTGGTGCAGCTACTCTCCTCGCCTTGCCTCTTCTCGAAATCTGCCTCTACTAACCCTTCCTCGACCTGGTTAGTGAGAAGGGGTCAGTCTCGTCGTTACTTCCTAAGGTCTTTGCCCTAAGCAAACTTTCTACTAACACGTTATTAGAGTTTCCATCCTAGCACGAAAGTCATTCTCGCTTTCTGCTCTTAAATAATCATTCTTTCAACTAGCTTATAGAAGCTCTCTACTTCTATCCTGAACTCGTAGAAGTTCGCTACTTCTATCCTTAACTTAGATACCAAAAACTAGGGACCACCGCGTTACGTATCGTCGTCCGGTGTCCCTACCCTAGTATGCCGAGTGCGTTACGTCTCATCGTCCGGTTGCATACCCAACTCGGCAATGGCACTGTGTTACGTCTCGCCGTCCAGTCCATGCCCGGTCAACTACTGCGTTACATCTCGCCGTCCAGTAGTTACCCCCAACATACTCGATCAACTGCTGTGTTACGTCTCGTCGTCCAGCAGTGATCCGACTATCTACCGCAATCAGTAGTGGCCCAACCGCCCAGGGGTTCATCTTACCAATAAAAAACTATTACAATCATACATTTATACATAGCACAACGCATGTCTTCATCCTTATAGGCGGTGGGATGCCTCAGACACATATCACGCATACTAGAAAATTAACTAAATGATAACTTGAACGAAAATCATAAACTAAAAGACCTTTTTTTACAAAGGTTCATTCATTAAGAAAGTAATGGGCCTAGCCTAGTGGAAAAGGACACCAGAAAGGCAAAGAAAATAAAACCCCAACCCAAAGCCCAAAAATGGTTGGCTACCCAATAGGGCCCAAACCAAAGAGCCCAGAGAGAGGTATTGCCCTCCAACCCTAGCAGCAATATTCCTTCATATGGAGCCACCGCCGCTGGCTGCTATTGACCGGGCCTCTGCCCAACAGCTCCATCCACCGACCGAAACCCCGGAGCGACGAACTGAGATGAATGCCAAGCAGGGAACTGGAGTAGACCAACCCAGACGGAGATTAGTGGAAGTAGCCGAAGCCACCATCGATTATTCATCCCTGGACCAAACCCATAAGCTCCTCGACGCGGGTAGCAACAAGGGAGACCTCATGACGAACGGGCGGCTAGGTGACGGATCCATGAGGGACGAGCTTCTGTCTTCAAGATCTTCATTCCGCGTCCAAGTCGGGGCCTAACATCTCCGAAACACCAAGAGCAACATGGCGAAGCAAGGAGGTAGACGGGGGAAAGAGGATGAGGAGACAAGTTGTAGACGAAAACGAATCCAGCCTCCTTACTTCTTAGATCAAGTCATCTCCATATCTGTAGAAACAAATCAGAAGGCAAAAAACTCTACCCACAAAGGGGGAGGAAAGAGACCCACCGGGGGAAGAAACACAAACCACAAAGGTAAAGCAAACACAAATTAAAGACGGAGCAACATAGGCGAGGAAGGGGAAAATCAAAGGGAGGCGAAGAAGACGGAAAGACGCATGAAGGGAGGGGCTACCGCCGGCCTCTTGAAAGCACTGGCGGCAACCCACATAAACTAAAAGACCTATGACAGAGATTTTACCTCCTTTACACTCATCTCGAAAAGATGACTCCTCGATTCCTTCCTTGAAGAAATCCCTCCTCAGCCGAATTATCTCAGGAAACTTATTAATAGGAATCCATTTTCTTAGATGACCTTTCTCGATTTAAAACCCTTTTTATTTACCAAAACACCTCTCCTCAAAATCTCATCCTCAAACCTCATCCCCAAGATCCCTTAACCTACTTTAACAATTTTCTAAAAGCAATCCCCTCAAAACCCACCATATTTCCTAATTAATTTCGTCTTGGACTAATTTTTGACCTAATTTGAACCTTCATAAAAATTTGGATAATAATTTTTCCATGTCAATAATGAGAACCTTTACCCTGGAAAATTATCAAACACTTCACTACCCCTCGGCAACATTTTTATCTAATTAAAATAAACATTCGAACCATTTCTAAAAATAGAATACATTTTCAAAAATTCCCAAATTAAATTACAGTCATCTCCTAGACCACTCTCAAGTTATAAAATTGTTAAATCCAGAAACAAACACCCACAAAAGCTCGAAAAAATTTAAAACATCTAAAATACATTTCTAGAAATTTCCAGCAGCTTTAGTGACCACCCAAAATCTGTCACTAAAAGCCTGTAAAGCCTGTTGCTAAAAACTCAGAATTGCACCCAATCGATCGATCTAACTCAAAGGGATCAAGTTCCATTACCTCCAGAACGTGCTTAAAACTAGATTGGATGACCTGGGGCGTTGATCTCCTTGTGATCGATGATCAAATCCTCAAATCTCGTCGCAAATGCTAGAAACACGAAAGGGATGGGATCGAGGTCGGGAAATAGGTGCGCCGGTAGGGCTTCTTCATCTTTTTCTTCTTGCCGTGCTTGGGAATCGGGACAGGCGACAGTTTACTTCGCCGGGGATGGAGACTCGATCCTAGTGAATTTTGTTGGGGAATAATGGCTGGCGAGAGGAGGAGGTTCTGGCGCATGGAAAAGTTTTGGGGAGGGGGGATTTAATTGTAGGGTTGGGGAAATTGGAAGGAGATTTGGATGGTGTCATTCGTTAGCTCCAAAAGGGTATCTCGTCGGATGTATTAGACAATTATTCTTCATCTTATCTCGGCCACGACCCATGGTGTAGAGTTTAAGCGGTTTCTAGAGTTGTCAATTGGATTGCCCGTAGAGTGGTACGTAAAGCCCTTTCTTTGTCTTTGTTAGAGTTTGTCATTTTTTTTATTTTAATGCCTAGCTAGTGTTGTAGTTGTGGTGTTTGAGCTTTAATAAGGGAGGAGGTGTATCTTTGGATTGTTGTTTCCAGTGTTGTCAATACATGCCACTAGTTGTAGGTCATGAAACCGACGTGAATACCACCGCTATAATTGGCATGATCGACTTACTAATTATAAGAAAAATGATGTCGTTTTACTAAAGTTAATTAATAAAAAATTAATTTATTATTTATTTCATGAATTTAAACGTCAAAAGTTGGTTCATAAAACCCTTGAGTAGCATTCTATTGTCACCTCGGTCAACGGGAGGTGGCCCCGGGGTTTGGCACGACTACGACATCACTGAAGGTGGTGACCGCAGAGGGTGTTCCTCATATAAAAAAGGTCAGAAGTTGATGTTATTTGTTGGATTGTAAGTAAATTGTCCTCAAATATGTTTTATATATATTTAAATTAATTGAATATTAATGATTTTCACATGTCTACATATTTTGTTAACCACCACAAAAGTATAAATCGGTTTGACAACCTTGGTTGTTTCTCTCTTGACATTTCTCGGTTAAAAAAAAGATTTTATACTTTATGTTAGTACACAAGTTGAAATTCATAATAATTGAATTTGTTCATTTATGTTATGATACAGTTTGTATAATAGCATATAGATATAAGTAGAGACGGCAATGGGGCGTGATGGGGTGGGTACCTTAATACCCATGCCCTGCCCCACGTTACTGCGGGTCGGGACGGGGGTGGGTAATACTCGTGCTTACATGTTATTTTAAAAAATACACGTAAAATTGTATTTTCTACGATAAAACAAAGAAAATTACTTTATGAATGAAAATAGTGATAATAGAATGAATAAATGAGCCTAACTAGTTGAAAGATTAAGTCAACTAGTTGAGAAAAAGTCAAAATAGGAGAAATATGAATAAATACGGTAAGAAATTGAGATAAAATTGGCCAAGAACGAGGCGGGACGGGGCAGGGGGAGTCAGAAGTATATACCCATGCCCTGCCCCACGCTACTGCGAGTCGGGTTAAACATGCCCCATCGCGGGTTAGGTATGGTAATACCCGACGGGGTGGGTTCAAATTGCCATCCCAAGATACAAATTCAATTTGTACTATAAATGAACTTTTACAAAAGGTATTGGTACAAACAAAATTTACATCATAACAGTTCCAAAAGAATATTACATCATAATGTTAAAATGTACAAGTTTAGTTTGTATCACAAAAATTATTTTTTAACCAACACACCAATAATGTAATCCATTGTAAAACGTAAAATTCCTCATATAAATGGGGTCTTACGTTGTAAAGTATTGGTGTCTCAAGCAGGGGCGAAGCTACAAGGTTGGAAGGGGGTGTCATGGCACACAACCTTGATTTAGGGCAACACTTGCAAATCTTAGTTGAGTAAATATTACTCATAATGAAATTTGAACCCCAAATCTCAGTATCAATTGTTAAATTTTTATAATTCAATCACAATCAATTATATAAATTAATTCTACCTACGAATTTCTATATTAATATAGTCTAGTTTATTAAAATGAATAAGAGGATGCAAATTATTAGAGGAAATCATTGAACCTTTCATGATAACGATAGTCTGAAGAGAAAATTGATATTTTCATCAATATATTTGCTTGTGAAACTTGGTTTAGTTTGCTACTACCTTTTGTCAATATAGATGTTGATATTATCAACAACAAAAAATACATATCGATATAAAGTTTTCAGCAATGAAACGTTTGACCAGCCTTTGACTTAATTGAAAAATTTGTGAATGATTATTTGGTGGGATAATATTAAGAGCAAATCTTTATTATATCAAACAAACAATCGCATCATGAGTTATTGTTCAAAAATTATTTTCATGCACACACTTGAATGAAATTCTAGCTACGCCACTGGTCTCAAGATACAAATTGAGCTTGTAGTAGAACAAGGTAAAATATCTCGGGTACCATTTAAGTTTGAGAGTTGGTGTAGACCTACCACTCAACTTTGAATAGGGCGTCGAGTACCATTAAAATCGTCAAAATGTGCATCCGTCTAGTTTTCTATCTAACCCAAACTTTTAATTATTTTTTAGTACCCAAAACTTTCAAAAATATCCAAAACTATATTTCAAAAAGTTTTATCTAATATATAACTTAGAAACCTTCTAATTATAGTATTACTAGAATGACTAATGAATGTTTTTCAATAAAATAGATAAATTACTAGAAATAATAAATGCATATCGACAAGAATAATAAATATACTATAAGATAATAATAAATATTTAAAATAAATATGAGAATATCAATTTAAACTCCTAATTCAATTAGAAACAGTTACTTAATCGATCATTCAATACATCAAGATCAAAGAATGATAAATGAAAAATAATCAGAAAAAATTAAACATATTCCAGTAATTAATAAAAATAGAACGACCACTCAACTTTGAATAGGGCGTCGAGTACCATTAAAATCGTCAAAATGTGCATCCGTCTAGTTTTCCATCTAACCCATAATTTTAATTATTTTTTAGTACCCAAAACTTTCAAAAATATCCAAAACTATATTACAAAAAGTTTTATCTAATATATAACTTAGAAACCTTCTAATTATAGTATTACTAGAATGACTAATGAATGTTTTTCAATAAAATAGATAAATTAGTAGAAATAATAAATGAACATCGACAAGAATAATAAATATACTATAAGATAATAATAATACTTAAAATAAATATGAGAATATCAATTTAAATACTTAATTCAATTAGAAACAGTTACTTAATCGATCATTCAATACATCAAGATCAAAGAATGATGAATGAAAAACAATCAGAAAAAATTAAACATATTCCAGTAATTAATAAAAATAGAACGAAAAGAGTCGGATAGTAACAAAGTAATAAATAAACTACAAAAGCTACTACATTCAGTAATAAATGTATAAAAGAAAATATGACTATAGGAAGAGAATTAGAATTAGTAAATTTAATAAATATGGAACATCAACAATATAATATTAGAGAGTTAAAAAGAGATTTAACACGGAAAATTAGACAACATCAATATGATGTAAGAGGACTAAATATAATATCCTCAGATTATTTATATCGAGATAGAAATTATAAAATAATTTTGCTTTAAGGAGTAATTGTTCAATTATTAGAACACATAATGATAATTGATTCTAAATTTATTATTCAAAAATTGGTTTGGTATCAGATTCTTCAAAAGAGAACTCCAACTAAACATAATTCATAGGATATGTTTGCTTGAGTGAATTAATTCAATTATTAGAACACATAATGATAATTGAAAATACTTACAATAATAATTGATTCTAAATTTTCTATTCAAAAATTGGTTTGATATCAAGTTTTCAAAAGAGGATTCCAACTTAATAATAAAAAAGTGATAGTTTTCCTAAAACCAAATGATTTTTTACAATAAGAAAAGTAGAAGAATGAATTATGAAATTTAGAAAATGGAATATTCCAAAAATATTCTATCAACTTTAACGGAATACACTAGGGCTGGGAAAGTAGACCATACCGTTTGATAAACCATGGTCCAAACCGGACCACACAGTTTGGTCTAGACCGTAGACCGTTAAGTATGGTATGGTCTGGTCCATGGTATGCATTATATGATGTTTTGATTTCTTGTTCTAGTCTGGTCTAGACCGCGGTTTATCAAACCAAACCGTGGACCCAGCAAACTTCTCAATATGTGTTAGCAAGCCACTTGACCACTCTCTCAACTGCCA